TAATATATTTGGGCAAAGTTATTACTTTGGATGTAAAAGGTTGATATGATACATTTCTTTGTGATTACTTCAATGACAGTAAGAAATTTGTAGTGGATCACCACTAAGAATGCTGGTGAATAGAAGAAATTTATCGTGGACGCGATTAACTCCCCAAATCTTATCATCCCGCATACCAAAAGCTGTTCTTAAAAGTCTTGAAATTCAGTCAAGTGGATTTCTTCATCAAATCTAATTTAATCCTGAAGTGCCAGATTTTGAGGAAAATGAAAATTTATGTTATGATTTTGGAGTCTAACAAAAAAAAAAAACTAATATAAAATGGCCTTCAGTGTTATGTATATGGTAGTTAAAACACCCCTGTTCAGTGCATTCTGAAAACGTTAAATAATCGATGTGAGATATAATCAACACACAGTTATGTTCTTCCCTTGAAATTTTCAGAATGCTTGTAAATATAAGCCTAGATGATGCAGATCTTACACCTCATATTGAGGCTAAAGGAAGTCATAAAATTAAGCCTGTCCATCCCAAATAGTTTAATACATAACATAAGAATTTAATATTTCTTTACCAGAGCATTAAAGATTTTATTATCAAGATCATTTTGTACTGCAAGGGTCTGAAAAAGCGTATCTTTTTATCTGCTAGAAACCTCAGGGGATTTTTATTTTTAAACTCACTGATGGTGGCGGGGGCGGGGGGTTCAGACAAAGAAATCTACCTTCAGATTGAATGGTTTATTTAGGGCAGAATGACTTCCATGTAGTACTCCTGAACTAGTTCTGGAAGCCTTTCATATTAGTCAACAGCCATCTCTCAAGCATGCATTAGAAAGCTTCCTTTGCTGTAATTCCACACAGCAAGTGAAGGTTGCCCTGGTTTGGTTCAAAATAATAGGAATCCTAAGGCTGAAGACAGAAAAGCCATTTCATGGGGCTTTAAAATCTTAAAATATTCTTGTGACTTTAAAATCAATTGAATGAAAGCAGATTGGTACCATTTGGTTTCTTCAATCAACTGTTTATGCTTGGTCATAATACTGTAGGTGGATTGAATACCCTATTTTCTTCATCAGATGTTAGACTCACACATATACATATAAAACCCATATGTACACATATCTGTTTGTTCGCTGTATTATATGTTTCAGATTTTATTCAGGAGCTCAAGATGGTATACATAGTATTTCCTCTTCAATTCGAACCCTCACTTTCCTACGAGAAAACCTAACCTGAGGGTGGGGCGTGAAGGTACGCTGTGAGGCTGATGACAGGACATTTGATCTTAGAGTTTCCACAGTTCTATTCCAGGGCTCTTAAGTGCAGCATGACACCAGTGAAATTCAAAAAATTTTCCCTACCGGCTCTGTGGGCGTGGCTTGGTGGGACTCAGTCTCTAAAAGGAAAAGGGCGGGTATGGGCGGAGCCAACTGATTCAAATCGTCCCTACCACCTCTCCAAACCAATTCAAATCGTCCTTACCACTTTCCCCAAAGCGATGCGAGGTAGTTGAATTTCACCCCTGGGAAAATTTTTATTTGTTCTGGTCTCTGGCTCTAATAAATTGAATTGAATTAAGTGCAACATTGCAGCTTGGGGGGTTCCATTAGGAAAGCCACTGAGAAAAATACAGAGACCATACCCCAAATCACACCAGTGTTCCATATACCTCCTGAATCTTAATTACCGTACTTTCTAGTTATTTAAAAACAATCTTTTTTTTTTAAAAAAATTGCTTACTAAAAGGCTTGTTGAAACAGTACTGGCATCAAATGCTATCTTGGTTGCAAGGCGTAAGGGCTGTAGAAGCAATTTACAACAAGCCATAGTTTCTTTCTTGTGAGTGATGGTCATATATTTGCCACTGGGGGGAAATGGGCCGAATGTAGGTTTTCTTCCTGATCCTTCTTCATGGGTGGATATCTTTATGAAGAAGCTGGGGGAGGTCACCTACATCAAGGTAGTTATGAACCTTCCAAACTTGACTACCTACTTAACATTAATTGAGATCTTAATCTGTTTCTACTGAGTCACACTGCTGATAGCATGCTGATTGTTGAATAGGAACTGAGTTTCATATCTAGCAAATGCCATCTATCTATTGGCATCATACTAAATGATTTGTTTGCTTCCCCCACTTGTGGTCTAGCTAGACATGACATTTTAAAAGGGATAAAAATATGTTTAGTCAATTAAGCTGCTTCTAACAACATATATAAACACCGAAAATAGTTTCCTTAGTTCTTAAGAAATTGAAGAGTTTCCTTTTGATCATATCAAAGATTTATCTAAGCTATATTCCTGTTCCTTGTAGCAATCCCACAAATGCTTCTAAAAGCTAAATATAAAAACAATATTCTATTGTTGCTTCTCCCTGGCATATGCTGTCTGGTTCACATTTTCTAATATAATCACATGAAACGGCTGTTAAAAATGTCTTGATGTGTCCGTCTGCTCCCCTTTTAAAGTCATCTGCACACATAGCCATCCTATCTTCTAATATCTTCATAAATTTTAACATGTATTCTAATTTCATGTTAAAACCTGTACAGCTTTGCCATGAATGCATTTCTATCCCTTTCTTTGGTGTCATCCTGAGCTCTAATGTAAGAAAAGGAGTGATTTCTCTCTCCCCTTGTGCTCATTACTATATCTCACTTCATTTGTTCTCTAAAACAAAACTAAAAAGGGCTGCTTTGGAAGCATTGCGCATAGACAATGGAAGTTAAATTGGATTTTTTGAAATACTCTAATGTGAAAAGAAATTTAAGAAATAATCAAGATTTTATATACAGCCCAAAGTCCAGTAACTCTTAATTTTCAAAGGTAGTACGAGATTGAGAAGGACTGTATAAAAAAATAACTTCTGGGCATCACTGTAGGTTGTAAATCGACCAACATCTTGCACCTGCACACACACCTGCACACACACACTTAAGAGGGAAAGCAGTAACTGAGGTGCAGCACATAGCACTCCAGAGATGTCAGAATAGGCAGCCTTAACTGTACCAGCTATATTTCTACACACTGGCTCAATCAGCCCCTCGACCCTTTTCTCTGGGGCATATAAAATGAGCTTTGTTTAAGATAAAAAAAGTCAATAGAATAAGCAGCTGTAGGCACTTGACCTATACCATTAAGTTTGTCTGTTTTGTAATATACCACAAAGGTTTCACTACTGGTCGTTTCAAGGAATGCTAAGTCTATTCTTGTATGTTATAGTTAATATTTGTATTACTTGTAATGTTTATACCATATGGCTGTGCATGTCCTCAAATCAAGGAGTGCAGTTCCCTCCTGAATTTGCAGATGTAAGATAAACTGATAACGTGTGTCTTTTGGAGAGCTAAATAAAAGGGGCCTGTCCCAGCATTTTAAGACTCTTTTTTTTTTGTACTTGCCCTTGCCTAAAAATCCTTCAAAATTAAATCATTCAGAATTACCTGTTAGAAACATGGCTAAGAAACAAAAGAGGAAACTGCAGCTATTATTAAGTATAAACCATTTAAGGAAGGGAAAGGAAACCCTCAAAATTAAGGGTGTTTAGAAAAAGCGGATTCACTGATAATGTTCGAGAGTTTGAAATAAGACCTCCTTACATATTATATCTGGCAATTGTTAAGGCCTGGAGGAGTCCGTGAGCATCCTCTGAACTGTGTAATAAGAAAATCAGCGTCGTGCAGCTCTGTATCTATTCTAGTATTAAAATGCTGGTGGGAAGGTCAGAAAAGGAAGGATGAGATTCATCTTCCTCCTCATGCTGGTCGCTGCCCAGAGTCAATAAAAATAGATAGGAAGCTGAATAGTATATTTTAGACACTGGCTGAGTTTATTCATCATGCAAAGTCATAAATCAAAGGAAAAGGAAGGCCAAGATGAAAGATAACCTAGTGGTCTTTTTCATTTTGGGGTCTGGAAAAATCCTCAAATTATTCCTCTAATCACTGTTTCTTGAGCTTTATTCCCTTTTTAAAGACCTCAATACAATAAAATGCATGATAAAAGATCTGCAAGAACTGGTTTTATAAGGCAACAATAAGGAGTTCCAAATGAATACCTTCCAATCTCCCCTAAATGGCCTTGGGCCTGTAATTTTAGCAACTCACAGCTTTTTTACCACCTGTAAACGAGTATTAATAAAGTTTGCCTAAACCTGAGAATGACTGAGGAGGCCAATTATGTCAGAAATGAGTGAAAGAACTCAGAAACTTAGCTCAAAGTTGTGCAAAACATGTGAATTGTAATATAATGGAAAGGGAGATTTTTTCAAATATACGCAAGTTAACAGTGACAGTGGTCGGATGATGGCCCGATGTTGTCTGGCAAAAAATGAAAACCCGACAACTTAATTTGGCAGGTTTTATTCTTTCATTTTCTATTATACAAAATACTTTACAATTTAAAAACATTTTCTGAACAAAAATCATATACATATATTTATAAAGAGCCAATTACACCAAAGGGAAAAGCCTGAAGAAGAGAGAGAGCCCACCCACTTTATTTATGAGGAACCAAAATAGCAGAGGGGTAATTAAGAGAAAGTTCTTGGCCCACACTTAGTGTTTCTGGTAACTGCCAAGTCTGCCGCTTCCCAGATACATTCTTAAATTAATAAATACACGGCTGCTCCTTTCCCATCTCTGGGGTGGTGACATCCGCTACATTGCTACTTCATAAGCAGTGTTCATTCCCTGTTGTCCCTTTAAAATTAGCAGCACTTTTCAAGTCCAGAGTCCAAAATTCATATTTCGATTAATCCTTTTTGCAAAAGGGCTTTTCAACAAAATCATCTTAACCAGATGCGCAAAGAACACCAGCTTAAATACTCTGCGAGAGATTTGGCAGGCAAAACTGATATCTTTCTTCAGGGGGGCAGAATTCCTTTCCTTGTATCACAAAGACTGACCTATAAGAAAAAAGTCCACTACTTTTAAATCTGTGCCTAGAAGACACCACTGCGGGGAAATCTAAATACTTTTCTGCTCAAAGGACTTTTTTTTTTTTTGCTAGACTAAATTTTGCAGGCTGGGACAGGCACACAGTAGGTACCGTTCCTTGCTGGATTTGCATAGGAAGCTTAATTTTACAGAAATATGATCCAGCACAACATGTAAACCAGTGGCCTTCCCTAAAAAGAAGACAGAAAATAGGTGTATGTTTTCAGGGACATCTTGAGAATTAACAGAGAGGTGCCTCTGACTCGGCCATGTCTGTCTGGGTGGGAAGAGAAAGAAGGGACTGGTATGGAGAAGGGCTCCTCCTGCATTCACAGGGGAGCCCATCAGTGAGTCATTGCTGAATAGTAAAAGCCTGTAGGAGGGTAGGAAGGTCATGGGCATCTGCTGCTTCATACAGGTTGCTGTGGCCCAGCATGGAGAGGGCCATACGGAGGGTGCTCCAGATGTTGTCGGACATGGCTCCCTGTTGGCCCCGTGGCCCGCGACTCTTCTGCTGCATCTGCAAGGCTTCCAAGAAGTGTTCTATAGCCTCTCTGTCAAGACAGCAGCATATGCCAATGAAGGGGAGTTAGAGCGAATCAAGAATAGCTCACAATCAAGACTTGCCCCGAAGGTTAGCCACGGGGGAGAAAGAAGGAACAGTTCTGAGGCTTTCTTTTCCCCCGTCACCTTAGTCATTCTTTGCTGAGTTTGCCAACACAAATACTTAACTTTGGGTCATTTTTTATTTGATTTTTACCCCCATCTTTGTTACTTTAAGGGTAACTCAAAGCAGCAAACATATCCAATACTCCTATTTACCCCACTATCACCACCCTGTGAAGTGAGTTGAACCTAGTGTGTGTGACTGGCCCAAAATAATCCAGCCTGTTTTCATGCCTACAGCAGGTGCAGAGCTCAAAATCTTTTGGTTTCTAGGCCAGCACCTTAACCACTATATTATTTTCCTCAGTAAATAAGCGAACACGTAATGTTTTTGATGCATTTGCTTAATTGGGTTCTCTTGATCTACTTTTAGGACTTGTGTGGAAAACAGATCACATTTCAGATCTTATTTATGCAGAAATATTGAAAGGGTTCACACACTTTTAAACACCACAGTAGATGAGACACCCCAAAAGCCAGTGAATGTGGTTTTTTGAAAGAGGAGGTGAAATGAGTGAAGGCACCATGAGTCCAACTGGGATGCCAATTTCTCTGGGAAATATTTTTAGAGTTGCCTGATCCATCACTCACATAATAGCTCATGTCTATGGTGGCCTCATCTAATCAAAAGCAGCAGTAGAACCGAGCTCAGCTTTAAAGCTACCCAACTCACCTATGGGCCCCTAAGTTTATACAACTAATGCCTAGGTTGTAGCGAGAACGTATATAGCCCGGCTGTAATTCCAGTGCCTGCCGGTAAGCAGCTACAGCTTCCTCACTCCGATTCCCGTTGGCTAAGGTAGCTCCCAACTTGTTCCAAAGGAGATGATCCTAGAAGAAGGAACCAGGTTTGGTCACACTTGGTAGGACAACTTTTGTTTTTCCTGCCCTCCCCTTCCCTCCCATTCTTCTCAAACTTTCAAGATTATTTGCTTAGTCTTGATCTTTATCTCACTGTGCTTTTCTATAATCCTCCCTCCCATTTTCTTCTTCAATAACAATCCTGTGAAGTAGATTGGACTGACAGTGATTAAGTGCCTTAGTCATTTTACATTTCTCTTTGCCTTACAGTGGATGAAGATTGCAGGGGAAGTATGATAGCTAAGGGGTTGAGGTAACAACCAAAAAACCCCCCACCTCTTGGCTCTACCATAAGCTTATTGGGGGTTGGGGGCTTCTCTCTCTCAGATTGAAGCCTCCTATTAGTCATGCCCATAGGAAGCAGATTCATTCTTTTGCCAGACTGTAAAATGGCTGCTGGAGAATGGCGGAAGTGCTCTAGCTTTACATAGCATTCATAAGTGCTTCTCTCAGTTTTTATAGAGATGGCTGTTGCATCAAGTGACTTGCACTTCGAAATCGATGGAAAAAATACCACTTTTAGTATTTCCCCATCAATTTCCATACTACTTTTGGTATGGAAGAGTTTTAAGAATGGATTCCTGCAGTCAGAAGCAGCCCCGAGCGAGAAAACAATGCCACCTTCTCCTACTACTCCTTTTCCTCCCCCTCCCCCGTGTGCCTTCCTTACATTTGGGCGTGAGCTCAGGGCAGCAGTGAAGCAATCCACAGCTTTCTCATACTCGCCACTCAGGTTGAAGAGAACACCCAGACCACACTGCACATCAGGGTCCACCACATCGGGGTTGCTACGGACAGCTGCCAAGAACAATTCCTTCACCTCGTGAAAAAGTGAGCTGAGGGAGGGAAGAATGAAGAGAACAATGCGGTAGGAAGGGCGAAAGCCAGTCCCACCTTGCTTCATTTCCCCCAGTTCCCATTTATTGCTCATTCTGCAGACTCACTCAGTTAGGAGGGAACCCAGAACACGTTTGGAGGTCCCTAGACCTTGGCTAGAATCCTCCCCATCGGGTTCTTTTCCCGTCAGATGAGCGTAGGCCGGTTTGTGGTGCAACCAGTCCCGCAAGGTTTCACATGCCTGCTTTTGCAGTGATTCGTTGGTAAAACTGACAGCTAAAGCCATGAGTGCAGTGAGGTTTCCGGGCTGCAACTCCAGGCACCTACAGGAAACAGGAAAATCATACAGGTAAAACACCCAGGGATACAACTGATGCATCTGCAGCTGGTGCAACCCTATCCCTTTGATTTGCCAACCCAATTCTTTCTGCACTAAGAAAGAAACTCCCGCTGACCCCACTTCAAAGGGCTAGCTGCAAACAATCGATTTAGTTTTGTTTCGGGTAAGGAGAAGATGCAAGGATACAGCTTAAGTTCACCACACACACCCTCAAACAGTCAGCATCATTGGCCTTTAGACTTTAGAACAGTGGTTCCCAAACTTTTCCAGTCCACTGCTCCCTTGGTGCTACAAACTCATCCCCGGTGCCCCCCACCCACGGGTGGGATTCAAATTTCTGTGAGTGTGGCCTAATTTGAGGGTGTGGCTTGCTGGTCATGTGACTAGCTGGCGTGGCTTGCTGGTTGGGCATGGCTTGCTGGTCACATGACTGGCTGGCATGGCTTGCTGGCTGGCGTGGCTTGGTGGTGACATGACCGGGTAAGTGTGGTTTGGTGGTCAGGTGACTGGCAAACCAAATACAAGTGGTCCTCACCTAATGGCCGGTTGCTTAGCAAGTGTTCTAATTTATGACTGGCCTCCCTGGAGTTACTTGACCTGTTTTTGGAGTTTTGACAGCCATGCACACACATACACACACACTCTCTTTTAACCCTGCTGGAGCAGGTCATTGGACTAGAATCAGCAAAACATCTCTGATTAGATTAAAGTAGAGAATAGAATCTAATCAGAGATGCTTTGCCGATTCTTGTTGATTTGTTTTATTTGTATTTATTTATTTTATGTTGCTGAATTGCATTGACATGTGTGTCCCTTCTTGTGCACAGCCCAGAAGCTTTTGTGATTCTTTGCAGCAAAAATTACCGACCTCTGGCTTTGCTCTACTTTTCAAACGTGCTGCCACTGCCATGTTCTAGATTCCAGCCCCGCAGGTCCACCCCATTGAGCCCGTTGCACCGGAGGGACCTGCCCAAGCAAGTCCGAGTGTGGAGTGGTGCACCAAGTCAATGGGGTGAGTCTGAGAGAGGGAAAGAGAGAGAGAGAGAAAAAAGAGAGAAAGAGAGAAGGAAGAAAAGAAAGAAAAGGGAAAGAAAGAAAAAAGGAACAAAGAAAGAGGGGGGAATGGAAAGAAGGGACAGAAAGAAAAAGAAATAAAGGAGGGAAGGAGAGAGGGAGGAGAAAGGTAATGAGATATCTATTCTAGTCCAATCACCTGCTCCAGCAGGGTTAGAAGGGAGTGTGTGTGTGTGTGTGTGTTCTCCTTGTAATTTACCAGTACATTTTGGTTTTGCCTTCTTCAGAATTGGCACTGTAATTGGGGAAAAGTAATTTTTAGGGTGGAGATCTGGTCCAATGGATCCTGTTTAAAGCCTCAACAAAATGTGAGAGCTTCCTGATAGTCTTGGCCATGTTTCGTCCACAAAACCTTTAATAGAAGCCAAAGATGTTTCAATGTGGAAAAGGGCCTCAGTCTAAACTAGGCCTCATTCAATCTGATGCATCAGGTCTCTCTCTTTCTCTCTCACACACACTCTCTCCCTCCCTCTCTCTCCCTCCCTCCTTCCCTCCCTCCCTCCCTCTTTCTTTGTCTGTCCCTTTTGGGTCAGACTGGCTTTGCTCTACTCTCCCAGCATGCCTGCGGGGCCGGCATCTCCTTTCTCCCACACTTCTCCTCCCCTTTCCTTCCCTTTCTCATTTCCTCACTTGCTTTATTTTTTTCTATTTTACACCATGATAAAATAATAAAGAAATAATGAAGAAAAAACATTAGAAAAAGGACCCTTATTTTAGCAGCGCTTCCTATTCCATAGCCGAGATATGCAAATTTCTGAGGGAAAAAAGTTCACCTCGACTCCACTTCTATGTCCGCATTTTTATATTGGCAATTTCCCCCCAAAATGTAACTTTTGTGTATTTTTTTTCTGCTGAAAGTATCAATTGTTGTGCTTTGAAACAATGGGCAGATGTTGAAATTATCCGAGGAAAGAAGTGGAAAGTGGAGGAGAAACAGCCAAACTTTGTTCCGGGATCTTCATCAGGGGCTGTTTTGCAAAGAAAAAAGGGATCCTGAGCCACAGAAAGAAAGGGGGAGATGCCTTCCCTTTGGGAGGGTGAGGGGGGGCGGCGGAAGGGGCTCTTTGAGCGAGAGAGGACGGGAAACGCCATTTTCTCCTGTAAAGCCGAGAGATCCCTATGGAAATCCCCCAGTCAAGGGGAGGAAGCCTGGGGAGAGGATCCGGCCAGATTAGGGAGATCCCTGAAAGTCCTCTCCGCCTCTTCCTGCATGGACTGTCAGCCAAGGGTTTTCCTGGCTTCCCTTTGGATTGGGGTGAGTGTGGGGCCCTGAAGTCCTGGCTGGCTGTGGGGCTGCGCCTCCTCCGCTTGTCCTCCGGTGCAGCTGCTGGGGGCTCCCTCCTTCCAGACTGAGCGGGGGGGGGGGGGGAGCCCAAAGGACCCCTCGAACTCTGGCTCCATTTTGCCCATCTGGAGTCTCCGCAGCTCCAGCCTGGGTGGCCTCTGGGCACTCTGAGAACTCAAAGGGCATCTAGTCCACCCCCCCAGGCGCATAGAAAAAGAGAGATTGGATGAGAATCATGGGGGGACGCAAAAGGAAGTTCACTCTCCCCTCTGGAGCTGGCATGAAAAAAAACTCCTAGAATGCAGCCCCCCCCCCCCCCGCCCGAAAAGATCCCCCCTCCCACTCTCTCCGCTTCTCTCTCTCTGCTCGGAACTCTCTCCTCCATCGGGTGAAGTCAAGGGAGACTCTGCCCGGAGACTGATGACGCTGGAGCAGGGAGAATTCCCATTGGTGCTTCAGCAGGCCCCTCCCAGCTCAAAACTCCGAGAAAAACATTTCCTCCCCCTCGACACACATTCCTCCTCTGACACTCACAAACACACATGTTCATTTCATGGGTAGATTCTGCGGTGGGAAGAGCTGCTGCACTGGACGACAAGTGGGGGGGAGAGAGGTAGCCATTTGCGTGCCACCTGTTTCCCCCCCCCCCCCCCGAGCCTGCCAGACAGAGTGCTGCCGCTGCCGCGCTCAAGGCGCCGGCCCCGCAGGCTCACCCCATTGATTGTTGCACCAGAGCAGTTGTAACAGTCAATGGGGTGAGCCTGCGGGGCCGGCGCCTCAAACGCAGCAGCGGCGACACATTGGGAAAGTAGAGCAAAGCCAGAGTGGCTTTGCTCTGTTTTCCTCACGTGCCGCCACTGCCGCGTTCGAGGCGCCGGCCCCGCAGGTAAATCGGGAAAGTAGAGAAAGGCAGTCTGGCTTTGCTCTACTTTTCAAACGCGCCACCACTGCCGCGTTCGAGGTGCCAGCTCCGCAGGTCCATCTCATTGAGCCCGCTACACCCGAGAGACTTGCCCAAGCAAGTCCGAGCAGAGCGGTGCACCAAGTCAATGGGGTGAGCCTGAGAGAGGGAAAAAGAGAGTGAGAACTAGTAGAATCCCACCCCTGAATTGCGCCCTGCGAGGAGCCCACCTCCAGCACTCCCCTGCCGCCTCTTAGCGCCCCCCTGAGGCATCCCACCACTCCCCAGGGGGCGGTAGCTCCCACTTTGGGAACCACTGCTTTAGAAGGTCTCAAGTCCTTGCACTTCTGGGAAGGCTACTCACTGTCGGAGGGCACTTATTGCAGCAAGCTCTTGTTCATTCTCAGCTTGGGTGGTCCCCAGGTACTGCCAAGCCTAACACAAAGACATGACAAAAACAAGAGTTCTGTTCAGAGTTGCACGGAAGAAGGGCCCGGTGATTGCAAACCAATTTTTTCCCCTCCCCATCTTTTTTGTCATTGCAGGGGGGAAAATATTGCTGGGGAAAATAGGACGCACACTTGATAGCACGTGAAAAACAACCAGCTGGCACAGAGAGCCAGTGACTTAAGCGTACTCAAGCAGCTGCTCGTGGGAACGATCAGAATGGATCAGAATGGTGAGGTAGAAGGCAAAATCCCAACTGGTGCCTGAAGCAGCCACTTCTTTCCTTCTCATGGTTAACCCGGCTTTGGGGAAACCTCAGAAATCATGAGCCAGTAATGGCTTCAAGCTTCCTCTCTAATACATAAACATTATGAAGGTCCTAATGATTAAATAATACAGTTATATAATCCAATAGCAATAGTAGAGTAACATGTGTTACCTATTTATTAATATGTTATCTATAAGAGACAAAGAATACTTGCCAATTATTAGTTATTATTGTTTATTATGAACTGTCAAACCTATTATCAAATGTAATAGAAAGAAATATGTTTACTGTCCTATTAGGATGTTTACTATTTTTTATTTCTGTATACTCATAGGTTTATATCTTTTTAATCCATTGCAAATAAAGTTCATTTTAAAACTTTAAAAAAAAAAAAAGGAAATCTTGAGCCAGAAGGTAGCACAGACCCAACCCTGTCCCGGAAGGAGACCGAAGAAATAAAGTCTGATCTGAAGCAACTCTGCTCCAGTTCTGCAAAAAAAAAAAGAAGGAACATGATGTCAAAACTGACTCATTTTCATTGTTACCTGGCATCTGATTTTGGCTCGCTGTTTGCCAAACAGAAATGGGGGGGGGGGGGTTGGTAAATTCCTAGGGAGAGGGGAGGGCTAAGGCAGTGGTCCCCAACCTTTTTTGTACCACGGACCGGTACAATCCACGGACCGATCCATGGACCGGTACTGGCATCAGCACGCACGACCAAGGCAAGGCGAGCCGAGCAACCGGCCAGCCAGCCGTCCCCCGCTTCTCCCCACCACCTTCAACTCCTCCTTTGTACCTTCTCGCGGTGATGGGCTTTTCGGGCTCTTTCTTAATCTCCTCCTGAGTAACGCGAGACTCCACCGCCATCGGGACGGCTCTTCGTTCGAAACCGCCCCCCCCCTTCGACGAAACTAAGGCGTGAGGATTCCTTCAGCACCCAAACACCGCTTTCCAACCGACGACCGACAAGCCCACCCGGAAGCACTTTCTCAAGCGCCGTCAAAACAAGATGGTGCCCAAGCAAAGTAGGCGGCCCGGTACAAAATCATCCACGGACCGGTACCAGTCCGGGGCCCGGTGGTTGGGGACCCCTGGGCTAAGGAACGCATGAGAGTCTTTTGCTGCCTGAGAGGAGATACCCGCCAAGGTCATAGTCCTGAGAACTGTTGAAACTGTGCAGACTGTTTTCCCAAGACAAAAGCATTGCATGGCAATCAACTGGTGGGTGGCCCAGGGAGGAAAAGGGAGTTTTACCTATGCCGGTTTTCACAGGAAAACTCAGAACTGACTTTGCCTTTGCTGTACCTGGATGGAACTTACACTAAAGTTTTACTCTTGGTGAAACTCTCTGGACCAGGAATTCCATTTTTAGAATGTGCCAACTGGAACAGTTGACAGATGAGTCCTTGGCACCCAAGTAAAGAATACCCACCTCCAATTTCAAATGTCACAAAGGAACGTACCTAACTCCACGTGATCAGAGACAGTCCTCCCCGCAGCACGCAGGGGCTAAGCTGCCATTTGACATAAGCCAAGGCTTCTGCGATGCTGGCGCTCCTTCACTCACCTCCATATGGTCAGGCTTTTGTTGCACAGCAGCCTCAAAGAATAAGACAGCATTGGGGAGATGTCCCTCCTTCAGACATCTCAGCCCCTCCTCAAAAGCATGCGGGTGGTCCCGTACAGGGTTATCTTCTTCAAACTGATATCCCTGCAAGGGAGGAAAAACCAAACATTAGTGGCTTCTAAAGGCTGCTCCCAGGAGTTAGGAAAGAGGTGGGACACGTGCTACCCCACAGCGGGGTTTGCTGCTTATTTAAGGAACAACAAGCTGAAGGATTAGTCCATCTGCTGTTCTCTTCTGCTTGCAAGCCCAGCGTGGTGCATCTTTCCTTGCCAATGAATCAGAGTCCGAGTGTGGGACAGCACTGAAGAAGGTAAGCGGAGTCTTAGATGCAGAGGTAAGTAGGCAGAAAGCATCTTCTATCTCTAAACACACCTTCTACCTTCTGCAGGAAAATGAGCATAGCTCGCTCACCTCCAAAATTCTAGAAATCACATGATGAAAAACTAACATTTGTCGAGAAGGCAGGGACAGAGAACTGCATCCAGCCATCCTCAAAGTGTGCCCTTTGAACTCTCTGCCAATATGGCCCCACCACCTGCCTCAGGGCTCAGCTTCTATTGGCTCGGGGGGGGGGGGGGGCGAAGTGGCAAGCCGCTGAAGGATGTATTTGGATAACCACCCACAGCCAAGATGCATTGAAATGAGAAAAATTTGGAGGCAGGCATAGTTAGCAGGAGAGGAAAAAGATGAAGAAGTGCAAAGAAAAAGCTACACTCCATGTTATCTTTTTTTTAAAATAAGGATCTATTTATGCTTTCTATAGAGAGCATTTCAGCTTGCTAGTTCGCAACCTTTTTTAAAAATAAAGTTTGCTATCCACACGCTCACTAGTAAGAGTTGTACAATCAAAAAGAAAAGTAAGAGATGGAGAGAGGACAAAGCACGGCATTCTTTCTACAGCAATACCTTGTCGTAAGTGGAGCTGGCAAGATCCTCGTACTCTGATAGCCAAGGATGAGACTCTGCATCTCGCTTGGCCATCTCTTCCCACTCAGCCTGCAATTTGTCCCAAAAATCCACATCTGACTAGAGAAAGGAGAGAAAGAAAATATCCGGTTGTCTCAAATAAATGCATTAAAAGTCTCCTGGCTGCAGGAGGAGGAGAGCCATTCCCCTTACCTCCATGGCAGTCTTGGCCTGCTCAAATTCTAGATCCAGGTCCTGCGAATTCCCAGTGTGTGCGTACTGATCTACCCAGGCTTCAGATGTATCCTAAGAAGAGAAGACAGAGCGGGTGGGGGGAAACCTTCTAAAAGACAGCTAAATAATGGAAAACAACATATAACCTTCAGGGCATTTTAACAGAATTATGAAGGAAATGACTCTTGTCTTGCTCCTCATCTACAGCTCCTCTGCTCAGTTCTGGGCCCCAAATCCACTTATTGGGTACATGGAGCATGAATTCTCCTGCTGAAAGCAGCAAGCAGCAGCCAGGAATCCTACCTGCTGCTGAACAAACTCAGTTGCCCATTGCTCTGCCTTATCCTGGTCCCTGGGATTAATGGTCACCCGATCGGCCTCGATGGACACCCTCCCATCTCCAATCTGGCGAACAAATTTTAGGAACTGCATGAAGAAAGGAGACACAGGTAGAGATCATCATTATTCCTGTCCTTATACCTCCAAAATGTGCCTTTTGCCTGGATTAGCCTGCATCTGGTCTGAGAAGACCTTCCAAGAAAAGGCAAGAAAAGTTGAAAGGCTGTTCAACTTTACTGGGCACAGGGGAATCAGTAGTAATTTAAAATAATTGCACAATGCTAGTAATAAATCTCTAGAAAAGCTACCAAAAAGGTTACTGTAAAGGCCAAAACCCAGTTTTAAGTTCGGCTACAGATCTACCCCTTCTCACCCAGTCTCATCCCAAATTTATCTTGATCTGACAAGAGTCAATCTGGCCTCACAGTTTCTAAGTAATCCTTAGGAAAATGAATCCTGTTCTACCATGAGTGATTGCAGAGACGAAGCAGGGGAGGGTGTCTGTGTTAAAAAAAAAACTCCATTATGATACTGCGGACAAGAACTACTAAGAAGATCATGCCTTGCATGGGATTTACTGATCAAAGGCAGAAGGCTACAGCAGAGAGAGGAGGTTCCAAGCTGGTGCGTGGTTATATTTAACCCCACATTTTCTAATGGGTTTTACCCATAACTGCCCAGCAGGCTTCATATGTGAGCAAGGATTTCACTAGGAGAAATTCCAAAACTCTATCGTCATGATATTACACTCTTGACAGCAAAGCACCAATCTTCTAAGACAGCCTTCCCAAATGGAATAATCTTCAGATGTGCTAGGTTGGCTGGAAGATGATAAATTTTGAAACCCAACACATCCAGAGAAAAGAAAGGCTATCCTTAAGAAAACAAAGAGATGTAGAATCCTTTATTTTCCATATGAGGTAACAATAATAAATCAATCAATCCAACCAAGCACAGGGGGGAAAGCCTTGGCATTTCCATTTTTCACAGGGGTGGGGGATGTGTAGCCCATAACTAGCTCTCTTCCTTCATTTTGCTGTCTCTGGTAGCCCAACCAGTCAGATGATCAGCAGGCTGGAGAAAGTCCAGGTGATTCATGGCAATGCACACTGAGTGCTTTAAACCAAGACATCTGGAAGAAAAGATGAGGCACAAGAAAGCAAAGAAGAGGCTGGAGGGCTTGTGTGCATGTGGGTACACATATGGCCCTGGAAGTTGAAAATGTTGCTAGCTAGTGGTGTTCGACTGAGTTATAGGACCAAATAAGCCGGCATGTACATACCCACAATTATTTTCTCTCTAGCCTTACAAGTGTGCACTATTCCTCTTGAAAAAAATGCCAGTCATATTTTTACCTCAGAATCATTCAGCTTGGGATCATCCACTTTTGAAAGAAAATCATTAGCTGTTTTTTTCAGATCGTCTTCAGGCTGGTATTCCTCATACCTACGACCAGAACAAACCAGGCAAAGTCAAAATAAACTAAAACAATGCTATGTTCAAAAGTGATTTGACTCATCGAATTATATGCATTAGATTTTTATTTATTATTTATCCCATGTTCCAGTTAGCAATTCAAACCCTGGTTTGCATTTTAACATAAAAAAGCACATGAAATTGTAACTTTAAAAAATTAACATAAATCGGGGCAGTCTACAAATACCATAAAAATAAAATAAAAAACAAAGTCCAGTGAATTTCATTTACAGAAGAAAATTAGTAGCACATAACTTCAACTGTTACAACATGAATTTAAAATAACTAAAATAATTCACAAACCATAACAAAACTGTTTTGTTTCTAGGCGTAAGTAGACAAAAGTCTCTGTTCCAGGCATTCCCTTAGAAGGCCCCAAAGAGATCTTGGTGTTCACACAGATACATGAGAGAACAAACAAGCTTTTTATTATCTGGAACTAGGCAATCATTATCTGGAACTAGGCAATCAAGAGCTTCAAGGAGTACACAAATACACTGATTTGCATCCAGAATAAACTGGCTCCTAAAGGATATTTTGAACTCTGAAAAAATGTGTTTCACTTATCTAGCCCAGGTCAATCTAGTAGCTTAGTTCAACTGGTATCTTAGTATAAATGTACCACCATCTATGAAGTGTAGTTGTATACAATCCAAAAAGAGACTGCAGCTGTGAATCAACCAAAATGAAAAGGTGACACAAATACCACCTGAACATCTAAAGATAAGGCTAGATTTGGGGGAGTTCCAGTTTGAGTCTTTTCGCAGACAGACCGAAATCGTGATTGTGTGCGGTTGCGATCCGTGCTCGCCACTGGAGCGCCCCGAGCTGGCTGGTTTGGGGGCTAAGCCACCCCGTAGAGGTGGTGAAGAGGAGGGAGACTGCCAGCAGGGTTGAGGAGAGCCGCATCTCTCCTCCTCAGCTGGCCATTACTCCCTTTCCCGAAGGTGGTTGCAGTGGTGGTCAGAAATGGCCACCTCAAAGAAGAACTCGACCGGAAAAGAATGTGCAGGAGGAAGACAAGAGAAAGTTTTGGTTGACCGGGTTAAACTGCAAAAGCAACAATTAAGGTACCCTGGAATTTAAACTATTAAAAAAATAACATTGTTCCCAAACAAGACTTTGAAGCAGTGAAGGAGAGAGAAAAGGGAAAAGATTTGGGTTTTTTCCTTCTCTTCCTTTCCCTATACTGACAGCTAAGAGACTTAAGCAAGAAGGCTTCCAACTCGGCGCTGCGTTGATGCAGAGCTGAGGAGCGGATCGCCGCTCTGAAAGACTCCGATTTTCGCTGTTTGGTGGCTTCCAGGAGCGTGTAGGACCTCGGAGGTGTAGACAGACGAAAGGGGAAGACCTGGAGATCTCGGGGAGGTGCCGCGATCCCGGAGATTGCAAGAGAATCCCCCGAAAACCAGCAGCAGAAGAGAGAGATCGTACAGATCGGAATCATAGATGTGGTAGCCCAGCAGCTTAAAGAAGAAGGAAGGAAGCAAAAAGTGGAGAACAGCAAATTGAGTAGTGGAAAGGTGAACTTAAAGAAGATTTCCAGAATATTGATTTATACTACAAAGGGAAATTGAAAATTGAAACTCCAAACCGAACAGCGCAGTGAAGCGGTAGAAATATCGGAAGAAGTACTAACTAAAGAAACGGCAGTAATTTATGCTGAGTAATGGAGCGCTGAAAACGGAGGAGCTGAAGGGTGAGACAACACCATTTACTTTTACTTTGGGAGTTGAAAAGGGGGTTGTATAACTATATTTTTTGGCGATTGATGTTTGAGAATTGTGGGAAGAAAGAGAAAGTGACAGTGACGTGTCCAAGTGAGACAGAGAGATTGGAAGAACAGCTGAGAGTGAAAACTTGAAGAGGACAATTGACACTTTAAAAGATTTAAGGAAAGGATTGAGGAAAGAAACCTTATAATTGCAATATTTGTCTGATAACTGTGATAAAGAAAAAAGGAAGAAATAAGATAACTAAGATTTATAAGTGAAACTAGGACTGTGTGGAGAAAAAGAATAAAGGAGCAAGAAGAAGAAGCCAAAATAGAAAGGAGAAACGAAATGGTGGAAGTGACTGTGCAAATTTAGAGGACATTTATCTAAAAAAAGAAGAAGAAGAAGAAGAAGATCCATGGACATTATTCGACTGGTCAGTCATAGATGTAACTAATTAATATTGGTAAAACATAATCTTCATAGATATATTTGTGTTAGAATATTGAGTTAAGAATACTGGTTAATAATTTCTGAATAACTGGACAATTGAAAGTGTGTTGTATAAATATAGAACTCAGACCTTCAAATAATAATCATATAGTAAGAAATTGAGGTATTTTTATCCTGAGGTAAGCATATAACTAAGAACTCTAAAGAAACAGATTAATTGATATTTATATATAGATAAGAATTTAATTACTTTAATGAATTGGCTGCTTTAAGTTAATTAAACATATAAGACTGTTGATTTTGTAAATATATCTGTATTTGATTAATATAGAATTCTCTTAAGTATTGTAATAGTTGAATAAGTTCAATAAGAAAAAATAGAAATAAGAGCTGATTGTGATTTTCCATAATAGAATTTTGGTAATTAATAATATAATAATATATGTATTAATATTACTATTGAACTGAAAAGGAAAGGAAAATAGTGCTCTACTAGGGATAGTTGATGGTAGATTGGAAAGAGCTGCTATAGATAGTTAAAATGGCGACAACATCAACTACAAATGTAAAATCAGGAAAGAAAACTACAACAACGACGTCTTCACCTATGAGGCAGAGATCTATAGATGCAAAAAACTAGTTTAGCTCAAAGCCTGCAGACAGTACAGGCAATGCTCACTATGATGCAGGAAATGATGGCAAAAACCCACGAATTGATAGCGAGGAACCATGAAGATATGAAAACAGAGATGAGAACTGAAATAGGACAAGTGAAAAATGAAATACAAAATTTGAATAGTAAGATTGGAAAGATACAGGAAAAAGTGATAAAAAATGAACAGAAATTAAATTTAGTAGAGGCAAGAACGGTGATGGTGGAGAAGAAATTAGAGGATTCAGAACAAAATTGGAAAGTACTCTACTGCGAACTCCGGGATTCGATGGTACACATGGAATTAGATGGCATCATTTCATCTTAGGTTCCAAAATGTGGTGGAAGACAAAAAGGAAGATTTACGTGCAATTATGACGAATCTGATAGCAGCGGCTTTACAGAAACCCAAACTAGAAATTGAAAATGACGTAGACGAGGTCTACAGAGTATATACACACTATACAAGGAAACATAGACTACCCCGAGAGGTTCATATTTGATTTGCGAGGAAGATAACACAAGACCTGCTCTATAGTAAGACCAGAGATGAACCACTTGTATACAAAGATCATGAAGTGGTTACACTGAAACAAATACATAGGAGAGTCAGAGAGCAGAGAAGGGGCTACCAATTTTTATCAACTCAGCTTATTAGAAATGGTATTCCATTTAGGTGGCTCACCCCAGAGGGGCTTTTAGTTTCATGGCAGGACAAAAAATACAAAATTGATACAATTGAAAAAGCACAGGAATTTCGTGAATGACACCTAAGACCCGAGGAAGAACAAGAAAGTAGAGACGACCTAAATACAAGAAGCCAAGAGGAACAACTCTCTGGAGAAAAAAAATCTGATTCACACTCTGAACCCCAAAATCTTAGAGAAGAAGGGGAAGGCAACAGACTAAGAAAAAGAGAGCCTAGAACAAGAAATGAAACGAGAAATGCCTCACACAGTCAGTGACACTGATAGTGAAATCACTTTATTTTCAGTCAACATCAATAGTTTAAATCTATCATCAAAAAGAAAACAGATATTTGAGAAACTTAAAAAACAAAACACTGACATAACTTGTATCCAAGAAGTGCATATTCCAGATAATCAAGCAGACCTCTTAAAGAATATAAATTTGGGTAAAATGTACTTGGCACTTGCAAACAAAAAAAAAAAGGGGGGGGGGGTATTGTAGTATATGTAAAGGATTGGATGCAACATAAACAAATATACAAAGATCAAGAAGGGAGAATGCTCTTTATAGAAATAAATGTAAATCAGAAAAAGATGTTATTAGTCACAATATATGCCCCGAATACAAACCAAAAAGACTTTTATAATAGGCTTCACCATAAGAGAACAGAATTTGAGTATGCTAATGTATGCATTGTAGGAGACTATAATGCAGTCCCAGACAAAGATAAAGATTATAGAACTTCCAAAAAAAAAAAGGAAAGGAGAATAATCCCTTCATCTTTTAATAATATGGTAAGAGAACTTAACTTGAAAGATGTGTGGAGAGAATGAAATCCAAATAAAAAACAACATACTTTTTTTTCGAACCCCCACCACTCTTGGTCCAGAATAGATCAGATATGGATGGACCCTGGGTTAATGGAGAATATTAAAAGGATCGAGATTTTGCCAAATCTATGGGCTGACCATAATCCCATTCAAATTAAATGGAAAGGAAAGAGAAAAATTGGAAGATGGACATTTAACAATACCATATTAAGAGATAAAGAATATATTGAAATGATAAAGAAAGAATTGAACGTATTTTTTGAAATAAACAAAAGAGAATATACCTGTCAACAGAATCTTTGGGATACGGCCAAAGCCTATGTGAGAGGTCTAACTATTGCTTATAGTATTAAAAAGAATAAAGAAAAAAGACAGCAACAAAACATATGGAGGGAGAAACTGAAAGATTTGGAAATACGTAGACAAAAGGACCCAAACAATTCAAACATTAAGAAAGAAATTGATCTGGTAAAACATAAAATAAATTTAAATGTACAGGAAGATTTGGCCCAAAAAATTAAATTAGCAAAACAAAATTATTTTGAAAATGCAAATAAGCCGGGGAGGTGGTTAGCCCATAAAATTAAAAAAGAACAAAATAACAATCGTAGCTCTCCAAGATCAGGAAGG